ATGCTCTGAGTGGGATTCGAACCCACGATCCCGGCTTCCGAGCGAGCGAAGAGAGTGCATGCCTTGGACCGCTCGGCTACCGTGACCGGCAGTGTCACATTTAGGTAATGCAAATTTGTAATGGAACGACAGGTAACCTATCCCGCGGGCTAACTGGCTGGACTCGTGAGCCTAGTCATGATGACTCTTGCTATTTTTGTTATAATTATTAATATTATTTGATGAGAACTTATTCCTTAAATATAGGCTTTGTATAGGTCCTGCATTTAATTCGTTGAACATAACCTCGACTTTTCGCACCATCTCCATATGTTGTAAATTTATAAATTATGTTTGATGACGAATATGTAAGTAGGTTTATAATCTATCTCCGTACCAAAGTTTGCTTGTATAGATGCAATGGATCATTGGTGATCGCCGTCAGACCGAAAACAAATTCCACCTTCAGCCCCCATTTTGTTCAGAATTACTGGGTTTTTGGACTGTATTCTAGAAACTATAAAACACGACGTTTCGGAAACTGGATCTGCTTCCGTCCTCACGTGAGGGTGAAGACACCTACTCAGCTCGGTCCCTTAGAAAGAGCCCACCTCAATCACTGGACAACTCCTGTCAGATTCGCACAGACATTCAATCATCTGATACCAGGTTAATTCGGCGAAAGATAACAAGGAAATATACAGTACTGCAAAACAACAGATGTAAATTTCTTTAAGACCTAGTACCATACATCATTACAAGACTCCATTTCAAAAGGTATTAATGTTACTTCACCTCATTATTTTGCAAGTTCTCCATGTCGATGTTACATATTGCAGGAAATTAAAAGCACACGATCAGAGTGAGTTGCCTTCAGTTGCACGAAGTTACTATCTACTCATACTTTGGGCCGCGCCATAGCTCAAGCGGTTAGTCGCTGGTTTCCCACCACGGCGGCCCCGGGTTCAATCCCAGGTCTGGTCAAGTGGAATTTGTGGTGGACAAAATGGCGCTGGGGCAGGTTTTCTCCGAGTACTTCGGTTTCCCCTGCCAATCTTCATTCCGCCAATTGCCCCACAATCAGCCTCATCTATAATCTAGGGCTGCTACAATAGGCCAGAAGTGGCCGCAGTACAAGGGACTTAGTCCCACCGCACTCGCAATAAAAAATACTACTTACTTTCGTGAATACCGGTGAATTCATTCAAAATTTAATGGGGGGGGGNTTTTAAACTGGAAATTGTGTTTTTTACAATAAGACACAACACACAAATAACATACATCACACAAGATAACAGTTTCTGTCATCAGTAAAAGTATTAAGTATATGTTACGAATGTTACAGTTTACTTTTTACATAACAAGACTAATAAGCATAAAGAGACGCATAAATAGATTTATAACTGCAGTAAATTAATATCATAACTCTGCGAAGATCCCATTTGAAAAATGTACGTGTAAAATAAAATTACTTTATTTCTGGGTGTGATGAACAGCAGACCACAGTGGCAAATCATTGTGGCCTTAACAGCGAGTTGCTAGAGACTGAAGGATGCATAAATAAAATTGTAACGACTTCGGGAAGTAAACTCACAAATCTAATTTAATCGTTGGAAATTCTACGTAGACCAGTAGTATGGAAAAGTTCCACTCATCTGTTACGGCTACAGATCCTGGTGAAGTCAAATTGCTGCAAATTAACTGAAGTTCTTGCAGAAAACGTCCACAGCTTACAATTTCTGTCCCTCGCTAATGGATAGCCCACACGACAATAGCGGTTCTTCAGCTACAAGACAAATCGTCAGAGGTAGGATAAAACTGATTGGCAGACTGACCGACTGACTGAATACTAGTGTCTAGGTAAGTACGTATCTGCTGGCAAACTAATTAAAAGATTATCTAGCGTTAAAATATGCAGCTAATTATCGAACGTCGTGACTAACTGGGGCGTACTCCTGCTTCATATTCGGGAGGTGCCGTGTTCAAATCTTGGCAAAGGGATCTGTTTCTTAATCGAGGAGATGCGTGATTTTCCTCATCCCTAGGCAAACTCGGGGTATTATTTTAATGAGGTCACAACCAATCCTTTCCAGTTCATTATTTACTAATGACCCTATCTTTTTTCACTGGCTCTACAGCCCCCTTGGGCCCTGGCCTCTGATTTTTCAGTTTCATGATCATTTTACAGACGGTAGGACTCCTTGGACGAGTGGTCAGCTTCTCGCAAGACATCTAAACACAGGAAAAAATAAACACAGAAAAGCACAAATACGTATGAAATATCCATGTCTTGTGTGGGATTCGAACCAACGATCACGGCTTCCGAGCGAGCGAAGGCAGTACATGCCTTAGGGCTACCGTGACCGGCCACTCTATGATTTGACCCTGTATAATCTTAGCTACTGAGAAAGTAGTTAATAAACAATAAAGAAATATAAGCTAACGAGTTAACTAATAGTCTAACAAACTAACAGGCTGAATAGACAGTTATTTAACCACGTGACTGACTCTTTAGCTGACTAGTGAGTTTCCTACACGATAACTGACTTAATTAGAGCCTATCTAGTTCACTATCTGTAAGATAACTATATTTTATTGCTAGTGGGGTGGGACTACAGCCCCAGATGACAGGTGAGGGTGAGTGTGAAGCAATTGGTGGAATGAAGATTGGCAGGGGAAACCCAAATACTCGGAGAAAACCTGCCCCAGCGCCACTTTGTCCACCACAAATCCCACTTGACCATACCCGGGATCGAACCCGGGCCGCCGAGGTGGGAAGCCAGCGACTAACGGCTTGGGCTATGGCGCGGCCCTAGATAACTAACTAACTGCATGGAGCTGAGTTTCAGTTGCTCATGGAAGTATTGTTCTCATGAAACATTAATATTTATCACAATCATAACAAAGAACTCGCTTTGTAATCACATCACGAGCAGGCTCATTCCTCATCTGTTCCTTCTCACCACATCGGTTCATTGCCTTTATTTGGGTCAACGGCAATCCGCTGTTTAGTCTCAAAAATGTCGAGACAACGCTTTAAAACATGAGATGACATGAAGAAAGCAGTCTTCTGGGATGTGGCACCGTGTAGATGTGGTGTTAACCGACGTTTCGGAGGAACGTATCGTCTCCATCTTCAGGGTAGAAAAAAATAAGAAAATCCACAAGCGAAGAGACAGTGAGAACAGGTGCAAACAGACCTTCTGCCCTGAAGATGGAGGCGATTCGTTCCTCCAAAACGTCGGTTAATACCACATCTACACGGTGCCACATCCAAGAAGACTACTTTCTTCAAAGTCACCGCCATGAGAACCTCAAGTCTTACATGAGATGACATATTCACCCTTCTCCTAAGTAGCCATCTTTAATCGTCCTTCAACTCTAAATAATTCGACTACTGATAGAGTGTACGAGTACATGTGGACTGAGAAACGCCAGAAAGAAAATTCAGGCATAAAAGACTCCAGGGATTACTTTCAATTCTACCGTCAAAGCTAGGTATATTTCACAATACCAATGATTGAATTTATACTTGTTTTCACGCCCTCAGTTTCAGTTGAAACCGGGGAATATCTTGACTAGCTGACAACTATTAGCTTCCGAGTTTATCAGCTCCACAGAACTAGCTCAGTTGTGTTGGCTCTAAGGTTCTGACAGCGGTAGTTATGAGGAGTTATATCTTCTGGGATATACTCGTAACGCATTTAATCAGTTGACAGTCGACAGACTTTCTGGAGAGACTTGTCACCTCTATCTTCAGTGCCTTACCTGGCTTACTCTTCAATCCTGAAGATGGAGGCGAACATGTTCCTCCGAAATGTCATTTTACTTTCAACGGAGTACACTATCTACAAGTTGGAAGGTCGCGTGTTCGAGTCCCGATGAAGTGGAATTTTTCAATTTACCTAATCCTTCCAGCCGCACTATTGTCCTGGGATCGACTCAACCTCTAATAGAAATGAGTACCAAGAATCTTCCTGTGGGGGAGGTAAAAGGCGACCGGTGCGTAAGGCTGACAACCTCACCGCCATCTGTGAGTCGATTGTCTAGAGAAAATGTGGGAGCCGCGAGGTCTCACAACCCTATGGGCCTTCACGGCCTGTTACAGTGATAGCTTTGCCCCCCCCCCTTTTTTTTTTACACAGCGTTGTATTTGTTTTTCCTTTTACTCGTATATTTTCCTCTGAACTTGCTAAAGTGTTTTAAGTTAGGTTAAAAACTGTAGTCTATACTAAACGTAACCCAACAATTTTAATTTTAGTTTGTATCCTTTCAATACAGCCCTTCCTTCACATGAAGTTCGTATTAAAATTGACTACAGACTTTTTCAAAGACGGTATATCGTACAAAGGAGGCTTTAATATGACATCCAAATCTCATCAAGATTATAACAAGCACTTTTCGGATATGACTAATCTCTAACAAAATTCTAAATAAATTAATAAACATGAATGAGGTTGCATCATAGAAGATGGAAATGTGGAAATGTGTGTATTCCATTGAACTGCGCCCTGGTTTAGATATAAGCACGTTTTGTTGCAAATTAACAGTGCAAAATCCGCATTGCATGCGTCAGAAAGCCATAAGAAAACAGCACAAATATCACAGTTCATGCACATTCAAATTGCTGCTTCTCGTATTTTGTTAAATACAGTTCACGTAGAATGTTTCGAACAAGAGTTGTAGATCTCAATGAGATATTTCATTACGCACTAATTATCTATCGTTTCGATAATCCACCTTATTGACAAGTAGAGCTGATTGCGTTTGATTTCCGTGTAAATTAGGCGTACGTTGATATTTGCTAGTAGTTACTACGTTTTGCTGACCTGGCATTATTTGTTTATTATACAGGAAGAAGAAACCCATTTTCACGTACATAATATGTTTATTGATACTCACTCTCAGATGTCAATAACTTAAGCAAAAAATGTTATTATAGTGGTTGCATTTTCTGTTAAACAGCAAACAAGTGACGTCAGAGCTTTTGACAGACAGTCCCCTAGCGTAGAAGTTCCGTAGCTCGCTCAAAGTAGTCTGCACTGGAGCATGGCGGGTGTTGTTAGATGCAATCGACGTTCTGCTTGTATCGGTGTGTTGTTTGGGACAGGCACAAGGCGAAGAAGTGTCAAGTGCGGAATTCCTTGAAGAGTGGTTAAAGCATAAAGAACATTGATGCCTCAAGGCTGCCAGTGATGATAAAGTAAGTATTCAGTAGGTGGAACGTATTTCTTACTATTCACCAAATATTTGTACGGCAATTGGATGTAGGATAACGAGATAGGCTAGATTTACGCAGTTCGATTGAATAAATGGAAAACGCATGCAAAATATTAGTCGAGAAATCTCAAGGTAACTTGAAAGATGTAGAGTTAGAGGATCTTAGAGAAGTACGTTTGCAGGTGTGAAGCAGATTCGACAGGCTCAGGGCATGTTACACTGGCGGGTTCTTGTGAACATGGTAATAGTCTTTTGGGTTCCATAATTTGACCAGCTAAGCAATTTCTAAAGAAATACCCTGCATGGAGGCGTATTGTGGAGTTGGATGTATAAACCTACACACATTCTAGATCTCGACAGTAGGAGATAAACAAGATGTCAGCCACACAATCTGGCCGCATTACACTCAGAGAAAGATCCCCGGTAGCCGTGTTGAATACATAAATATTTTACAAATATTTCAGATAAAATACATACATTCCAGTGGGTTGAATGATTTTGTGTGCCTCAGATTCATGTGTAATATGCATATGACCTTTCATAGGCATTCAGTAAAATATAATTTGACCAGTCAAAATTTCGGTTGCACTTTTGTACTGTGCACATTGTCTGCGTGCAGGCGAAGGCGAACGATGAGCTGGAGTCGAGGCAAGTTTCATGTGACGGAGCATGTAGTTTCGCGATGTTTCCGCATGTAATAACGTCCTGTCCTAGTATGAGGGGCGCCTACTACAGATGGTTTCCCCTTTCGCCCCCCGCCTCCCTCAGCGAACAACTGTTGTTTGTTATGTTACATGCTGTCGAGGTGTGTCTTTCAGTCTTATGCAATCAGTAACGGTATAAAAAAATATTAGTACTAATAGGCTACGGTCGCGACCGTTCCGTTTGATTCATCAGAGTGATGGGCAATGTAAAATAATTATTGCTCAAGTGTCATTGGGTAATCACTTCACCTGAAAGGTTGGATAGTGAGGGTATCCGAAATGTATTTAGTAGAGGCAGCCAGAAACTGGATCCATGTTGCGTATTCTACTCTGTAGTTTTTCCTACCGCAGCACTGAACATACTCGTAAGTTGTAAGCAATTTAATCTGCTGACAAGGAGGCCAATAACTTGTTTAGAGCTTGTCGCTAATTAAAGTATAAAATACGATGGCAGTTGTCAGAATATCATCAGTGTAATGATGTTTAATTACAAGCAGTTCTTTGGAGACAGAAGCATTCTCGATACTTTTACGGGGATGTCTGCTTTGAATCTCACATATATTCATGTCATTAACGAGCAAGTTTCCCAAGCATTAGGACAACTGGCTTGTATTCCGGATGTGTTGAGTTCGAATTTCGTTCGGGACACTTAATTATTGTGACGGAGGAATTCATGGTTTTCCTCGATTCATCCAGGAAAATTCAAGGTTAGTGCCTTAAATTAGGCCACACCACTTCACTTACTTTCCGACTATTCACTAGGCCTATAACCCAGTTATTCGACGCTATGTAATTTAGAGTTACTGACGGCGTTATCACATAAACTATGAACATAAACTAATACATACTACATGTTCAAGAGGTTATTAGCTGGCTTCCCACCGCGGCGGCCCGGGTTCGATCCCGGATCTGGTCAAGTGGGATTTGTGGTGGACAAAGTGGCGGTGGGGCGGGTTTTCTCCGAGTACTTCGGTTTCCCCTGCCAATCTTCATTCTACCAAATTCTCCATCATAATCACCCGGGGCAGGCTACAGTAGGCCAATCAGTGGCCGCCGTGCCGAGTGGCCCCAGTTGGACTCCACCCCCCACTAAGCAAATTAAAAAAAAAATACATGTTACGACGTAAGAAGTGTGGGAAACATCCATCTGCACGCAACCAAGATTGAACAGAAAGCTTAGTTCTTTCCTTTTTGTCTCGGACTTCATCAGGGCCGAGTCACGCCATCTTGAATGACTCTAGGGCTGTTGCTTTAGCAGGGCGACCAAACACGAGAGAGACGATAATCGGGAAACGATCTAATAGGTCACGGCCCACGCGTTTCCATGGCAGCCGAACTTCAGAAACAAACGACCGTAAATACAGCTATACTCTGCTCTTTCATGAGGAATACATTTCTGAGATGATCGCGAATGAAGCCATGGACTCTAATAAATGTTTGTATTCACCCTTTCAGTGAATTATGCTTTAAGTTTCCTCACAATTTAAACATTTCCTTTAACATCGCCCGCGTCACTCACATATCTTCTGGAAAGTTTGATGCCTGGAAAATACAAAATAAAGATGGCAGGCTTCACGAATTACGGACCGGTACAAGAGTGAGGGCATACTCTTTTCTTATGAAGCTAACAATGAAAAGGCACTGGAGATGGTATGGACATCGTGAAACAAACATGTTTGGGGGGNGGGGAGAATTGTCTTTTCTTGATGATGGAGAAGAAACAGAAGAGTAAAGCAAAAGGAGGAGAAGAGAACAGACTTACCAGCCACAGTTTACAAGACAAAGTAACCCGGGTGTTGACTTTTCTCGGTATATTTTTAGCAATTCCCCAACTACTCTCAGGGAATGCCTAAATCTTCTCATGAATATCGGTATAGAAACTGCCATTTTCTTCGACACGTTACAAGGATCTCGAACTGTAACGCAACCTTTCTAGCTTATCGCAGTTGTGACCAGAACTGGCCAGTTTTTGTCTCATTCGGAACAAGAGTTCATGATGATTCTTCTAGTCCTTAAGCAGGCGAGCGATAAACTGGGACGCAAAGCTACGTAAACAAATGCACAGTCACGTTCGAGGTTTTCACAGCTGTGATACCATGATTATTGCAATTTTAACGTGACACCGTATTATAAATAACTACCAGAATACACGGCACTGTATCCCGGAAGACTATCATCTTCCAGCAAGTGCAGTGTCTCTTCCAATTAACTGTAATGTACGACAGTTAACCTCTGACCATGTCAGATTCAGCGTTTAATCTCGTTATTCACACATCCTGCTGTTCAGTACGTCAGGCTGTGTCACTGACCACGTATGGGCCATGTATCCGAGTAACTTCTTTGTGTTAAAGGCCTTTCTTGAAGTTATGGCTGATTTCTGTGATGGACAGTGGTTATTGCATGTAAAACGTGTCCAAACATTAATGACACTGCCCACAGAATTTATTTATGTGTTACGTATGTTATCAGAATGCGATTAGTAACTCTTCTTTATTGCTAGTGGGGGGGGACTGAGTCCCTTGCACTGCGGCCACTTCTGGCCTATTGTACCAGCCCCAGATGATAGGTGAGGGTGATTGTGGAGCAATTGGTGGAATGAAGATTGGCAGGGGAAACCGAAGTACCCGGAGAAAACCTGCTCCAGCGCTACTTTGTTCACCACAAATCCCACTTGACCAGACCCGGGATCAAACCCGAGCCGCCGCGGTGGGAAGGCAGCGACTAACCGCTTGAGCCGTGGCGCGGCCAATTAGTTTCTTTAATAACATTTGTCGGCTAGAGACGCAGTGTTCCAAATGGTATAGCAAGTGAATGTTTGTGTATTATTTGGAGGTAGGTGATGCTTCTAAGAGTTAAGTAATGTATTTGTAATTAACAGTTCAATTCATGTTTGTTTTCTGATAAAATATAAATTGCGTGCTGAATCGGCAGGTACTCATGAATCAGAAATAAACATAAGGGAGGATGGTTACTCCATAGTTAACCTTTAGTGCCATGATCAGCTATGTACAGATTGTAGTAACTAATTAGCTGCATGTGTGTTTGAACGGACGTATTAAAGAATTTCGTCATTTTCTTGAGCTAAGGGATTCTTCAACTGCTGTATGGCCGACTGACTTGATAAATGACTTATTTGCTGGCTAACCAGTTCGCTGAGCGATAAGGAATTGAATATGTTGCTGATCGAATTTCTGGTTCATCGACATAATAATTGAGAACACAGAAAGAAATCCCCAACACTCGATCTGTTACGCTTCTCTCTCTAGCACATTTTCATTTCAGATATCTATTCCTGCTTTTCACACTAATGCGGCCAGTGATAACCCAGCGATAACCTTCGCTAGGGAAAAGCTGAGATTGTTATTGTCCAGAGGCGGCTAGTGGAGAAGAAAGCCACAGAAAAGAAAGCAGTATCTCTGTGGAGAGCTGTAGTCCCTACCATCCGTGGGACTTCTTTCTGTGGCCTCGTTATAACGGACGAATGGGGTTTGCCCCTTCTGTTTTATGTTAAATAACCTTTTTAGTACCCCTGCATCTTCAAAAATTCACAATTGTACGTAGCCAGAATGTGTCAGACATATCCGGGTCAGTTATAACGAGGGTTTGCTGTATAGTCATTAGCGGATGTGACTCACCCCAGTTCACTCACTACGCATGCGCCAAGTTACTCGTATACACACATTAACTGAATAAATCATTCTTTAACCCTTTACTAACTAGCCAAACGTCTCATTTTTACTCACAGTTTCCCTATAGAAGAAACCAGAATACACAACCAGTCGCATAAATGTGAACGTTTAAATCTGTTACTTTAAAATACTCCCATAAAATATGACAACAGAACTTAGTAACGGACTTTATTAAACCTGCGATATGTCTCGAGGTTCTTCATACGGTTCACTGTAGAAAAACATCGATTGTAATAGTAAAAGGAACAAGCCTATAAAAGTATTTCATATGATCTCTCTGCGAACTGCACAAATGAGCCCATAATGGGGAAGTACAGTATTTTCTAAGTAGTTACTATAGGATTCTGACGATGGTGTATAACACACTTATATGTTAGGTTTTTGGACTTTATCCATCGTCCTGGTTTTTAAGATAACAAAAAAAAACACGACGTTTCGGAAACTGGATCTGTTTCCGTCCTCAGGTGAAGGAAAACCCTATTCAGTTGGGTCCGTTAGAAAGAGCTAGCCTCAATCACTGGACCTGAGGACGGAAACAGATCCAGTTTCCGAAACGTCGTGTTTTTATTTGTTATCTTAAAAACCAGGACGATGGATAAAGTCCAAAAACCTAACATAACAGTATTTTCTGTCAATATTTGATCTCTGAGATTTAATGAATTCCCAAGGAATTTGTTATCAGTGGGTCTGCAATAAACATTCAACTGACACATGAATAACTTGCAACTGGAAAATTTTGTTTCGTAGGCTTCTTGGGGTATTACACAATGACGTACCATGTTGAAGGATCGTATTTGAACAGTAAAAGGAAGATAGCAGAGCTGTATGCTTGTAGTATGACGCACGGCTGAATAATCATGTATACTTTTCATTAGAATCAGAAACTACATGCGACACAAACCTTCATGAAAAGCTAACGGTCGTCAGAAAATCATTTGCGTCTTCGTGAAACCCGAAGATTCTTTACGATGCCCTCAAGAGCCCGCTGTTGGCCACTGAACTCAGCCGGATGAACCTCTGAACCCCCATCTTCAGCTCTGTTTATTTAAGATCTTATTATGTAATTACAGTAGTAGATTTTGCATACCCAAAAATCTAGTAATCAGAAAAGTACTAAGTTCACTTGGACATCCGGTGGAAAGAACCACAATCGAATGGATCACATTTTGATGCATGGGAGGCGACAAAATATACTTAACATCCGATCTTTGAGACGAGCCAACTCTAATACAGATCAGTATGTGACTGTTGCAAGCGTTAGGGAGTGACTGCCAGTAAGCAAAGAAGCAATGAAAATGCTTTGCGTGGAAAGAGGCTCAATCTCAAGAAACTAAACGAGGTGGACGGTGAAGAACAGCATCGCAGCTTTGGTGAACTCAGATGATGATGAGGATGATGATGATATCAGTAGGTAAAGCTTTTCTGTAACAGGCCGTGGAGGCCCGTAGGGTTGTCGAGGCCCCCACATTTTGTAGACAGTTGGCTCACAGATGGCGGTGAGGTTGTCAGCCTTACGCGCCAGTATTCTTATTTGTAGATTCCCACAATATTTTGAATAAATGAAGAATCACGTGTCTCAGCTACTGAATGTACATGGGGTTAGTGATGTTATCTGATTGTTCTCGACCCACTCAGTGAGACTTCAAGCTCTACGCGTTGGTCGTCATTTCCTTCTAATCGTTGTTACCCTCGTTAGCCCTTACGTTGTGCTCCCACTTCTTATTGTCTCCACTTACTTTAACTGTAGTCTCCGGCAGCTGACTGCCGGGCTGCCATTGGTGGCGGCGGCTACAGCTGGCTTTACCCTGCTCTACTTATCACCATTTACACACCCCTGATCTTTAGGACAATAGGTTGTAATTTGGGTGCCAGTAAACTGATACCATCAGTTTACAGATTCACAAAAGAGGTGAAGGATTCATCAGGGGTTGCTGGGGTGGGGTAGCTAGTTCTACGGTAGAGCTAAGATTCTGTTCTCAGGTCGTTTGGCAGGGTCTCGCTTAGAAAGGGGAGTGGGGACTCCTGTTATAACACACACACACACACACTTTGCTCCACAAAACACTTCATTCTTATTAGGTTCTTGATGATTGACTTTGCAACACTTGATTACACTTGCTTGTTAAGTTATGTTCCACACTGATTTTAGTCTGAATATTGAACTGTGTTACTGGTTTTCAGTATTCATTCCGATATTATAAATTCCACAACTGGTACTTTAATTTTCCGTTTAATCCCACTTTAGGACACACAGCTTATACTTTGATCACTGCAAGCGTAGTAAGTCCCCAAATTTTACGTATTTAACTATAAATTTGGAGGGATGCAGATTTTGCGTCCATATGATGCTTGAGTCAGGAAACAACTAATTTAAGCAGAATGACCTCTTCTCAACTCTCGGAGACTTCTCGGTCCACAAGTCAACTCCCTAAATTACGAGTATTGGTCATTTTCAAAAAATGGGAGTACACTAATTAAGTATGTTAATTTACATGGATCAAAACATGCTACTAAATTAAATCAAGAAGAGGTTGGCAGATCGGTTACAGTTGAGCCATTTGTACCAGATCCTAGCCCTTTTAACATCTAAATTGCTATTGCAAAGCTGAAAAAATAAATAGCGAGGTACTGACCAAATTCCGGGCAGAACAATTTCAACTATAGGTGATGCATTATATTCTGAGATTCATAAACTCGTTAATTCTATTTGGAATTATAAAGACTTGCTTCAGTAGTGGAAGGAATCTATTAGCTTCTGAATTTGCAAGAAGGGCTATGAAACCGACCAAAGCAATTATCAAGGTATGTCACTGTAATCAACTTCATACAAAATTGTATCCAGTCTTCTCCTCTCACGGTTAAGTCCATATGTACACGAAATTAGGGGGGGGGGCTACTTATCGGACTTTATCATTCATTAGGTACTGCAGAGAGAATGGGAAGAGAATGGTAGAGTACATCAACTAATCATAGACTTCAAGAAAGCCTATAATTCAATTTACTTACTTACTTACTCATGGAGCTGAGCCCTTCTGGAGGAACGGCCAATTCAGCAGCTACTCAAGAATTTCCCAGCATTTTATGGAACCCGAAGGTTCATTACCGTGTTCACAAGAGCCCTCCACTGGTCCCTATCCTGAGCCATATCTATCCAATCCATACCATCCCATCCTATCTCTCTTAAGATCCATTCTAATATTGTCCACCCACCTACGCCTTGGTCTTCCCTGTGGTCTCTTTCCTTCTGGCTTTCCCACCAATATCCTATACGCATTCCTCGTCTCCCCCATTCGTGCTACATGACCTGCCCACCTCATCCTCCTTGACTTGATCATTCTAATTATACTTGGGCCGGTCACGGTAGCCGAGCGGTCTAAGGCATGTACTGTCTTCGCTCTTATGGAAACCGGGATCGTGGGTTCGAATCCCACTTAGAGCATGGATGTTTAGTTTGTGTGTGTGCGTTTTTCTGTGTGTGTGTACAGGCAGAGGCCTTGCGACGAGCTGATCACCCGCCAAAGGTGTCCTACCGAATGTGTAAGATCTAGAAAAACCGAAGTGAACGGAGAAGTTCATGGAGGTAGGCCTAGGCCCACTGGGGCTGTAATGCCAAGGAAAAAAATATTATACTTGGAGAAGAGTACAAGTTATGAAGCTCCTCATTATGCAGTTTTCTCCAGCCTCCTGTCATATAATTCATTTAGGAGGAAATTATTGTATAGTACTCTAATTGAATTTGGTGTCCCCATGAAACCAGTTAGGCTTATTAAAATGTATATAAATGGAACCCATAGTTAAATCCATATAGGTAAACATTTGTCTGATACTTTTCCTCTTCAAAATGGTCGAAAACAAGATGATTTATTGACATTGCTTTTCAACTCAGCTTTTAGATTATGCAGTTTGGAAGGTCGAAGAAAACCAGGTAGGACTGGACTATCAGCGTCTTGTCTGTGTTGTTGAAGTAAATTTATTGGCAGGTAACATAAGTGCCATAAACATACACAGAAACTCTGACTGTTGCTAGTAAGGTTTGTTTAGAGATAAACAGAGCAAACTAAGTACATGGTGATGCCTTATCATCAGACTGAAGGCCATCATAACATAAAACATAGCTAATACATCCTTTGAAAATGTGGTGGAGTTCAAATATTTGGGGATGACAGTAACAAATAAATTTGATTTATGAAGAAACTAAGAAGAAATTGAATTTGGGTAACGTTTGTCACCCTTCAGTTCAGAAGCTGTGTCTTCTCTTCTGCTGACTAAAAACGTAAAAGTTAAAATATCCAGGACTATGAAGTTGTCTGTAATTTGTGTGAGCGTGAAACTTGATTATGAGGAGAATATCTGGACCAAAGAAGGATGAAATAATGGGAGGTTACAGAAGACTGCATACTGAGGATCTTCATAATTAAGACTCGTCGCCTAATACATAGAATTGGAATATAGTCGAGGCCTATGAGATTGGCACGAAATCGATAGGAAAAGCTGAAGGGAAGAGGGCAGTAGGAAGTCCTAGATGTAGAAGGGAAGATAGTATTCAAACAGACCAGCTTTGAGTGGATTCATGTGGCTCAGAACTGTTAGCATTGGCGGGCTCTTGTGAACACGGTATTGAGCCAGCATTTACCATAGAACGCTGGGAATTCCTTGGGTGGTTGATCAAGTGCTGGCTTCTCAAGGACTCAGCTCCATGCAGTTAGTTAGTTAGTTAGTTAGTTAGTTAGGCCGCGCCATAGCTCAGGTGGTTAGTCGCTGATTTCCCACAGCTGCGGCCCGGGTTCGATCCCGGGTCTGATCAAGTGGGATTTGTGGTGGACAAAGTGGCGCTGGGGCGGGTTTTCTCCGAGTACTTCGGTTTCTCCTGCCAATCTTAATTCCACCAAATACTCCATCATCATAATCACCCGGGGCAGGCTACAATAGCCCAATCAGTGGCCGCCGTGCCGAGTGGACCCAGTCGAACTCCACCCCCCACTAAGAGAATTTAAAAAAGAAATTAGTTAGTTAGATAGATATATCAAAATCTCAGTTTCCTAAATCATCTTTTCCTTAATTTTTTCCGATAAATTGTTTGTTCATATTTCGCGTTTCCTTCGCGCATTCTGTGTGTCCATCCACTCTATCACTCTTTGAATCTAAAACGTGTGATGAGTACACATCAGGAAGATCCTCATTATGCAGTTTTCTCGAATCAGTTACTTCCGTATACCTTGCTTTGTTGTATGACTCATTACATTCCTAGTCAGTTCGCAAAGGACATGCACGTTAGAGGGCAGTGCTACTTTCAGCCACAAGTATTTGTTATGACTGCAGTCAACGTGTAAAACTGTTATTAACTGTTATCTCTGTTTGATAACGTTACAGGTCTTCACGCGCTGGAGTCGACAGAACGACAAAGGAGTTTATATACTGAGCAGTCTGAAAATATTGTGGCCCCTACATGTGTCAAGACAAGTAATTTCTCTATGAGACATCAGCCAGCTAGTACAGGTCGTCACACAGAAACAGTCAGAGTCGGCCAAATAGCGGTATGAAATGTGTGAAAGTTGACATGAAACCGACAGAAAATTGGGTAGATAAATAAAAAATCAGATTATGTTGGTTCAGTAAAGTTCTGTCGAAACAAGGAATGCTTGTGGCGAAGTGGTATTAAAGTGTCGAGTTTTCAGTTTACTTAGATCCTGTTAACAAAGTTAAAAGTAAAGTTATATTTGTAATGCAGTGACGAGGTTATGACTTCATACCACTGAGTAAGAGTACAGATTCGCTAATGGAAGAGCAGACGTATAGACGGAAAGCAAACAGAAATGAATGTGATGTTATGATTTTATATGAAATATAGATGTAGGATATAAACATGTAAATTTACTGTTGTGTTCTTTAGTTAGAAAACTTCTAAGAGTTACTCTTCGTGAAGGACAAATCTGTGGCAAAAACGTAAGAAAAAGCGTGCATTTTAGATAAAACAGATTAACTCTGGTGCGCCCTACACGCTTCAGTGCATCCTATGAAAAAAAGTAAGAAGTATGTGTAGATGTGTTAAAATAAGTCTCTTGTTGAATGAAGTCAAAGATAAAAGTGTACATGAAAATATGACGAGGTAAATTCGCTTGACACCTTAGAAGAATCATAAGAAAGATTCAGTTTACTTATAGCTGAGTTCCTCAGTCACTGCGCTTTGAAAATCAGCCTGGAGGCCTTTGATTTTCATCTTCATCCAAGGCATTACTTTATCCAGTAGAGCCTTTTAACAAGATTTATTACGTTTCAGTTTCTTAAGTGCAGTGGTGTATTTCACTGTCGTTTTATATGTGCATATTTTAGGTAAAGCTACAGCTAATAAGAATAATTTGCAAGACTCATTGAAGGTGTTAAGAAAAGTTGTCCCTGTGTTTAACTAATTAAGCACTACGACATGAAGGCGTATGGGGGAGTGGATATATAGAGCCACATTTTCTTGACCTCGACACTAGTTGGAGGTGAGTGGCCAGCTTCACGCCCCGGTCGCTTTACGCCCGGTGAAAGAGCCCCCGGTACCCATTGGATAGGAAGCTGGGTGGGCCCCAGAGCCGGTCTGGACGACGTGGAGAAAAGAACTCCGACCCCTTGGTCGTCCAGTCCATAGCCAGTCGCTATACCGGCTCCCCATAGAAGGTGATATCAAGCAAAACTCGTCTGTTTACATTTTTTCTGCTCATATTCCGTACACATCTCCGTAGATTTCTTGTACAAGTTTGTTTACACTTCAGGCCGCTTGCTTCTTCGAGGCCTGTGACGTGCGCAATAAGAGAAGGAACGTGTGAATATTGGGAGCGAGCATAAGCAACAACAGTGATCTTCGATGCTGGTGAAGGACAGACAGATACTGGTAGTGAACGCTGGTGAAGGACAGACAGATACTGGTAGTGAACGCTGGTGAAGGACAGACAGATACTGGTAGTGAACGCTGGTGAAGGACAGACAGATACTGGTAGTGAACGCTGGTGAAGGACAGACAGATACTGGTAGTGAACGCTGGTGAAGGACAGACAGATACTGGTAGTGAACGCTGGTGAAGGACAGACAGATACTGGTAGTGAACGCTGGTGAAGGACAGACAGATACTGGTAGTGAACGCTGGTGAAGGACAGACAGATACTGGTAGTGAACGCTGGTGAAGGACAGACAGATACTGGTAGTGAAAGCATAGCCTTCATCTGTTGGGAAGCAGCCATGCATTGCGGTTATGATTTATAGATGTGGTATCACACAAGATTTTCTTTTGTGATGTGCCATTAAACTTCTGAAGAAAATGCCTTGTTTTATGGTCATCTTAACACCTTTCATGCTCCTTCTGGTATGCAGTTATAAAACGAATTTGAACATATGCCCTGAGAGCGAAGTTTGTGATAGTGGACTCGACAACGTTTCCTGCGCAGACAAAACTCACGTACTGTGAGAAATATTTGGACTGCACATTGTGGACTAGAAACAACACGTACAGCAGTTTCTTTACATCGCAGCAAGCCACAAAGTAAACAGAGCATCCTTTACAGTTTATACAGGTGCTACGGCAGCAAGTGCTCGATGCAAGCGTTGGCTATTGATGTGGCAGCCCGTCATTCGACTCATTATACCAAATTATTTCATCGATCTTATTGACATGAGCATCAGAACACAAGAAATATCGGCAGTCAGCTGACCTCTGGTCCATCCCAGTATACTAGCAGATCCAGTGCTTGGTGCGCAAGTCCTTCGATTTCAGGATGGGAGGCAGGTGGCAGCACTGGTTCAGTCTTCACATTCTTACACTGGCCATAATCCAGACGTCCACTGACGCATACATATCGGGTGAGTACGGGATTGCTCCTTACACATACATAGTACTCTGTCTCGTATTTTACTTTCTAGTTGTGTATTTATACATGAACAAGAGGTCCATGGTGAGCCTTGCGAAGGACCAGTCCTCTATCTGAAGAGCCCTAGTGAATGTTTGCAGGATTTATTTTGTCAGAACTGTGATAAATGCGAGATTTTAAGTTGTCACGGCGTCGAGTGTCATGCGTCATGCTGACAGTTTTCTTTCGTAGATACGTAACGACCTTCTGGAGGAATCTACTACTTCCATCCTCAGACTAGCCCAATCTTGGCGCGATCTTGTTAACAGGGTAATGAACCTTCGAGCTTCATCAAAGACGGGGGAATTTCTTCACCGCCTGAGCTACTATTAGCTTTACAGTAAGGACTCTTCCTCATAAAAGGAATGATTGATTTATCGAATGATTATAATCGCAACAAAACAGACTTTTCACATTGTCGCCATATTATTATTTTCCTTTACCCCAAAACATTGCAAGGGTAAAATATTTCAAAAGTATTATACCCATGCGAATAACATGAATTGAATTATGACTGTGTGCTTCCGCGTCCCAAGTTCATACTTGTACTTAACGACGTGGCGTCAAGAATGTTTTACCAAATTCCAGAAAATAGTTCCATTCTATTCCCAATACCGATATCCGCCCTTGGATCAGGTGACGGACTGACAGGCCTGCAACTGTCAGAGTTTGGAGGAAACGTGGGTGTGTCTTCGAAATCCTGCAGACTGCAAGCTTAGCCGTTTCCTGTGCGAGTGTGGAACTGTCTTGCCGGGGGGGGGGGTATGACCAACGAATGGGTTGCATAAACATACTCTTGTGCCCGCATATGCATGGACAGATTCGGGCGCAGTTCTTTAAAAAATATTCGAAGTCACACGAGTCTAATCCAGCAAAATTGGTCACAATGACAGATATATGGTAATGCATGCATAACAATTTTATTTCATCACTAGGCAAAATGTAACCCTAATTTCGGAAGCTTTCAAAATAAACGGGCTTATTGTTTGTATTCTGGAGATACCGGATTTCTATGGATTGTAAATTTAGAATTATTCGTATTTAGATTACTTAGTAACAATTTTAAATTAGTCTGTATAGTTCACGTAGATTGTTGAATAATTGCAGAAGATGAATTGGAAAGGGTACAGAAAAAATGGGGTGAGGCAGTTTAACACAGTACCACTACGGTTTTTGGTGACATTGAGGAAAACCACTCTAAACCCCACAGTTAGGATAGCCACTGACTCCGTGTCCAAGTGAATAAGGGCAAGAAATACAGACCACTCGATTAAGAAGTGAAAGGATTTGGAAGGAGTCCGTCCTTATATGTTTTCAAGGGATTATCCCGACGTTCGCATACGTAGAAGCTGAGGAAACCCACGGAACACGTCAGTCGCTATAGTCAGTAAGGGAATCGAACTGAGGGTCTTCCAAATACGAGTTTAGAGCATTACCATTCCACTGATCCGAACTTTACTGGCGAATATGTAGACCTGAAACCTTAATTTTGCAGCTTTTGTTAAAAATTGTTAAAAAATGTAACCACCGTACTAATAAGACATAAGGGGAACTGAAAGTGAAGATCACCGCATTTTGAAGTCAGCAGTAGATAAAGTCGGCTGTTCGGTTTCACAATTCGGTCGCTTTATTCCCTGAAGAAAAGCCCTCAATGTCCATTCGACAGGTGTTGGCCTCAAAGACCCAAGGGAACTTCATTGATTCACGGAAGAAAATTTATCGCAGAACATCGTCGTCTTCCGTACTCTTTGCTTAATATTATGACGATTAAGGATGAAATGGGTCGCACATGTACTCGTAGCACGTCTCGGGAATGAGGTTTATTATATACAGACCTGAAGGTAAGAGACAGGTCGGGAGACGCAGGCGAGTAAGGGAGCATATTATTAAAACACATCTTCGAGAAATAAGCTATTTGTAGATTGGATTGAATTTGGTCAGGATAGGGTCGAGTGGCAAGATTTTGTTGAACACTGTAATCGGCATTCCAGTTCAATAAAAGCAGGAAATTCTTTGACCAGCTGAGTGACTGTTAAATGCATGTAAACGTGGTCATAATATCTGATTTTAGTTATATAATGAGCTTGGCGTTTTATTCCCAGCGTTAGCTGTACTCCTTCAATCGAACACCATGTTATTATTACTTGTGACTTCTGTTGTGTTTAGTGAACCTGGCGTTTTACTGCCTCCCGGAAGGTCCGCCGTCAGTTCTGCGTCTTCAGTCGAAAGGCCCGCGCTCTGCAGTTTTCGTGGACCTGAATGTCAGATCTCCCTACAAACCCACGACGGACCAGCAGACCGACGCCGCAAGATGTCAACTGGAAGTGATGGCGCCTCCCGGCCACGAGCTTACAGTCAACCTGGATCATCCAAAAAAGACCCTCCCGTCCAGGTCATCAGAGGAGCGACAGGGCTTTCTTCCTTGCTTCCTCAGGCTAGTGAGTATTTCGCATTGTCAGGTGGCCTCAGGATCGCGTAAGAATGCCAGAGAGAGCAATTGGAAGAGCGCTTGGTTGCGGTCGGAGAGGCATTCACAAACAAACCAAGGATCTTGAGCGAAACGTTAGTTACTGCGATATTTGTTGGCGTAATGTCACACTTGACAGTAATTGTTGCGCTTCTAGGCTTCTTGGGTGGTCGCCGATTTTCTAATTTGACCATCAGCAGTTTTGAATCGTAACATGGTTATTATAAGCAACGTGTAAGAAAGAATGTGTAAGTGGGCACTATAATCTCTCTGAGCCCTACCTCTTATTTCTCATTTATCAGAAAACTGGCCCCAGAGAGATTAGTTTGTGAGAATGGCCTCAGTCAAGTTTCCTGCTCCATCAATACTCAGTGACCCCCATAAAATAATTGGTGGACATATGCTACGATTTTCTGCATTGAACAAATTATAGTTGTCTGTGAACTTAACACCATTTCATGGAAGCGCATGTGAGTTGCTGAGTTAAAAGTTCCCCATAGAAACAAGGCTCTGTACCCTTTGAATAGGAAGTTGGGTGAGCCACTGAACCGTTCTGAACACGTGGCATTGAAACATCGACACGACATATTTGGAAGAACATATGCCTGCTTTTCTCCGGATGCTTCCATTTGTGTTGAGAGTATACCGGACATAATAAAATAATAATGAATGCCCTGTATTTTTGTGTATGATTTGACCCAGTACAAATTGCAACCACAAGCTTAGTATGCCCTCTGTCCGTATTGCCTCCTTGGGTTGCAGGTGGAGAAGACAGCCACCAGATATGGAGGGTAGAAGCGAAGAAGTTTTATTGAATATGCAGTTGTCAACAGTCGACAAGGGGTGATCCTTCAGCCTGTAGATTTAACTTGGCGCTGAACAACTCCTCACAATAAGAAAAACCTAGCATCTTAATTAAATATTACATAGGGCTTCAGGCTTTTGTGGGGCACGTGATGGAGGCACTGCTACAAGCTGGAAGGTCACGAGTATGCATAGAGATCCATAAGCAGCTATCAGAGCTGGGACTGAGATACGAACAAAATAAAATTTCTCTGTCATAGAAATATTAGTGATAATTATTACTAGTGCTTTTCTTCAGTTCCTCCAAGTGAGTGCCAGGATAGTGATGGTCTACACTGATGATGTGAATCTACTGTGTGATAATGTAGACACCATAAAGAAAAACACACAAACTTTAATTGACGCAAGTAGAGAGGTTGGTCTAGAAGTAAACACAGAGAAAACTAAGTATATGTTGCTGTCTCATCACCAAAATGAGGGGCAAAATCATGACATAAAGATAGGAAACAGGTGTTTTGAAAATGTGGCACAGTTCAGATATTTGGGAACAACGACAACAGATCGAAACCTGATTCAGGAGGAAATTACGGGGCGATTGAACTCGGGTAATGCTTGCTACCATTCAGTCCAGAACCTTTTGTCTTCTCATCTGTTGTCCAAAAACATAAAAATTAGAATATACAAAACTATAATTTTGCCTGTGGTTCTGTATGGGTGTGAAACTTGGTCCCTGACATTAAGGGAGGAACATAGACTCAGGGTGTTGAGACTATTTGGACCAAAGAGAGCTGAAGTGACAGGAGGTTGGAGAAAACTGGATAATGAGGAGCTTCATAACTTGTACCGTTCTCCAAGTATAATTAGAATGATCAAGTCAAGGAGGATGAGGTGGGCAGGGCATGTAGCACGAATGGGGGAGATGAGGAATGCATATAGGATATTGGTTGGAAAGCCAGAAGGATAGAGTCAACTGGGAAGACCAAGGCGTAGGCAGGTGGACAATATAAAATGGATCTTAGAGAGATAGGATGGGATGGTATGGAGTGGATTGATCTGGCTCAGGATAGGGACCAGTGGAGTAATGAACCAGTAATGAACCTTTGGGTTCCATAAAATGCTGGGGAATAGAGTGCCAGGATAGCACTAAAAACTACCGATACTACTCGTATTATCATATGATTCAGCGCTGCATAATATGAGCTATTGACATTAAATAAACCAAAATATGTAAATAAAGCACTGTAGACTGGCGCTGATCATGATTTTGCTGGATAGTCTTAGGAGAAGGTAAATTTCAGATGTTGAGAATAATACTGAAACTGATTTCAAATAAATTATTGGAAATATTGTGATGATGGTGGGATTTGATTAATCATAGTGGACCTTCGGTTTTTACACCGGTAAGATGTTTCTTAATTGTAAGCTAGGTCGCTTTTCCAATGGGCAAAGTGGGGGAAGCAGTGTAAGTCCCCTGCCCACGGGGATGTCAGTGCAATAAACTTTCTCAAATTATTGCCGAACATCTCCATTGGTGGCACTGAAGGTGCTAAGTATGTGGCGTCTCTTTTAGGTTTCATAAGCCCAATCACAACTACTGCTGAGTGAAATACAAATAAACTCGTCTTAAAAGCATATTATTACGATTCATTTCGAAATTTTGTATCCTTAGTCACTAGGAAACAAGCTCCATCTATTATGGAAACAAAGTAACGTCATGGTCACTTCGTGACGTAGGCCATTACATCATCATTAGAAATTTACTGAATTCTATTTTAACACATTTCCAATATTCACACGTCGGTGGGAAATTCAGACATATTTACACACGACTTTTCTTCCTTAAGGTTTCCTACACAAAATATGATGTATCCTCATTTGTAGAGCAGATGGATCTTAATTCTCCAGCATTCAAGCCTGAAGGCTCTAACACCTCTAACAGCAAAGTCTGCCTCTGGTCACACTACTGAGATGGTTCTAACCACCTCCAGTCCCTAAAATCATCATCAGTCATCATCTTTCTGTTTTCCAAGTCCACATTTGCTGACCTCTGGATCTCAACCCAGTGCATCTGTAAGTGGGTGAAGTACAGCATTTGATTTCACAGTGTTGAAGTCTAGATTATGTACAATTTTACCTCTGTGCCCCATATACGAGGACGCTTGCATGGTTCGGTGCTTGGGAGTAGTGGGAACTTCACCTTACCATCATGTTTTCTTCGACCACGACCCTGGTAGGTCAATCAGTAAGGTTACTGACTGCTTGATAGATGACTGCAGGAGCTGGCTCTTGGACCCACCTATCCTCCTGGCCACTGGGTACCAGGGTGTTTCCCCTAGGTAAATTGGCTGGTAAGTGATGTCTGCCTTTCACTTCCATCTAGTGCCGAATCCTGTAATATTTGTTTGTTTACTCTGTTTCCTTCAAGATGTGGTGGTAAAATAGCGACGAATTTACCGTTAATTGTTAATCCAAATTACTGTTTTCGAAATAATGACCCTTGAATACTGAAGTGGACTTCATTGAACATGATTTATTTAATCCGTCTTGCAGTGCATACACTCATTTATTTCCTTCTCTCCCTCGCACTACATGTTTCGGCATAATAATGCCATCTTCAGGTGCTTACTTATCCACGTCAAACCAGTTCATTGCATGCCATGTTCACACATTAAAATAACTAAAATATGTATCTATCATATACATTGTCAAACGTTAAAAATATTAAAATTGTTCAGGATACCACATCGCTACGTCGCCCCTCACTACGTCAGTCACGCCCATTCTCCTTTGTTGGAGCACTCCTTCACTATCTTGTGTGTTGTGCTTTTGTTGTGTCGTGCTCCTGCGACTGCNGTAGTGCGAGGGAGAGAAGGAAATAAATGAGTGTATGCACTGCAAGACGGATTAAATAAATCATGGACTTAAATCAGTGCAACAGGACGCTAAAATATAACATTCATTGAACATATCGATGTTTTAAAGCATGAATGTTGTGTGTCCTATTTACAAACTTTTCTGAAAATTCAAAGATGCATCAAAGAGATGTTCTGGTATGCCATAAAATATTTCTTAATCCCTTCTTCTATCATCCTGGGTTTGCAATAATTGTACAGAACAATGACAACATATTTAACAATCAAGGGCACACAGTGACTCAAAATTGATATAAAATGCACTGAACAGTATTTGTGCTTTAAAGCATTAATACAGCTTGCTATGCTGTAGGTTATGCACATGCCTCGTGTGGGTGTAAAGGAAAACTATCCCTTATCAGATTCCTCTTACTAGCTGCACAAGTCAGATACTATCAAACTGTAAAAGGAGGCTTCCGGGTGCTGACTTTCAGATTTGTAGCTGTAGTGTACAATCTGTATGTATGCAAAATCTCCCCATTGGTTAATAACCAGCCACACTGTGCTAACATTAGGGTTTTTTTGTCCACAGTCTGTCACAGGCAAGGCGTCAGATTACACTGAGACTCTGCACAAAGTGGGGTCTAGAACTGTTGACCTGTGTGGCAGTAGTGAGATGCCAGTCAACACCCTCTTCCTCACAAACCACCTTACTCTAACATGGTCTCCACCCAACATCAGCCTTAGTGGCAAAATGATGGCCAAGCGTCTCGTCATCACGACTGTCAGTAGACGTACGTATAACCTGATGATCAAGTTGACAGGTTACAGGCCTGTAGTGTGACAAATTGGAAATACTGGAGGCGATTCTTGCCTGGTGCAAATTGCTCTCCCTATGGCTGTACCTGGGCGGAGTGGGTGAACCACAGAAAAACTGCCTAGATAGTCTCGCCAAATTTTGAAATAGTGACCTTTAGAATAAGAAGCAGGTGTGAGAACCACAACATCGGCACATTACTATTTGCATTCAAGCAATGAGGCTGTTGCATTTGGCTTAGCCAACTTTTTCTTGTTCATGCTTGTCCCATTTAAAGCTGTTCAGTTTATTCCTTATTGCTTGAGACTACTACATGACTTACTATGTAGGCTAGCACAAAAAATTCATTTGAAGTTTATTTACTTAATTTTGCAGTTTCCTAATATTTTCCTTTGTTTGTTCTGGTTGCTCTGTGTTTGGTAACCTAGCTGCCCAATTGCCCTTTTTTGTGGGTATGATATGTGGTTAGGTATTCCACTATGTTTAGGTGTTAAAATAGTTGAAAAGTCCTCCTCTTCTTTCTTAGTGATCACTGTCCTTTTGTCCTTGTTTAAGGATGTCCAGTAATTAAATTATTCACAGATTCTTGTTAGTAATTAAGCCATTTGCTTTTCACATTGCAGGTTTGGATGTGTGCAGCACCAGACATCGCTTTCTTTGTCTGGGAGGTCCGATCTACTTGCCTGTCTGCATTTCCTCTGAGTTGGCTTGTGACGGGCATAACAACTGTCCCATTGCTGGGGATGATGAGAATCCTGAAGAGTGTGAAGCCATGGCATTGAAAGGACGTTTGCTCTTGGCTAACCCAGACTCCTCTGAAGAAGGACACCAGTCAAACCCGCACAGTGTTATAGAGGCCATGCTGAAAAAAGCTGTCTTGAAGACCTTGGCTGAAGTCAAATCTGGGAAGAGAGATGCAACATCAACAACAACATCTCAACCTGGGCTGATGACTCTTATGTTCAGAGATATGTCAGACATAATACTGAAAAAATTTCTGAACAACAGCAAGCGTGACCAGTTGGCTGAGCCCAGTAACTCAACAATGATAACTACAACAACTAAACCGCCATGGCAGGATAGTCCAGAAGGTAAGCCTATTTTGATGCAGTAGGCTCAAACAGAAGTTCTTGGAAGAATATACGACATCTTTTCTTCACATACTTCATGGTGAAGCTGACATGAACCCTCAGATAATAGTTACACAATATAGCAGTCCATTTCTTTGCATAATTTACACTAGTACAGATTCTGAATACGAGTATATTAAATTTGCCAAATATTGCTTCAAAACTCTGGACCATCAGTATGAGTATAATTGTTAACTTAATAGAAATATATCAATCAAATTTTGTCTGTATTTTTATGCCCGATTTCCATATGGATTCTTATAAAATTTGCTCTGTGATTCACTAGCTATCGGCAGGAAACAAAAACCTGAATATTGATTTCAAGCAGCCACTGTGTTCTTATTTTACATTTTACAGAAAAATAAATTTATCGTTTTCAAAGATCTCCTAGTGTACCAAATTTGTGAATCCTATGTCAAGCAGCAGTAATGTTGCTCCCATCTCACGCATGTACTCTCTTGATAAAATGGGGAAATTATTATTAGGCTAAAGAGGTAGAATAGTCCCTCATTTGCTTAGATGTGCAGGTAATATTATACACATTCCATGTGTATACACAAAGTGTACAAAGAATACATATAGGGTGTGTCCATCCATGTAGCTGTCTGCTTAATTCATATCCAAAACTGCTGTAGCTGCATTTTGTTACAGTTGGTATTTGCAAAATATATACTTTAAAAGTTATCAGGCAAATTTAAGTTCGATTTATTGGTCCAGTACCACCCACTTTATGTGAAAACCAAATTGAACTTAATCAGATCTCTCAAAAGCAGTTCATGGAAGAAGAAATTAGTGGAAACATAAAATGTAAATCTTGCTGTTCTGTGACTTTTATTTGAACCATCTCTTTATATCTGTAGATGGTCAATACTCATTGAAATACAAGGAAAGACAATTTCTGATGCCATATATTGTGATATCTTTCTGAAACATGTATTTTAACTCACTTTTGATGATGTTGAGTGCCTGATAAGATTTTAGTGCTTTCCTTCATTGTGAAATCTTGAAACCTAGTATGCCTATATTTCAGTTACATCAACAAAGTCACCATCCTGAAAATTGTGGATACCTATATTAATTGCAGCATTTATTTTGGTATCTGTCAAAGGTTAGGTATCACCGTATGTTTTGAGTATTCCATGGCCTTGAACATCAAGACTGTGATCTTCTGAAATGTGACAGCATGTACTCTGGTGATGATGTTCCACCATTCTTAAAACAGCCTTTTCAGGGCCACTACTCCCATTGAACTGCTGATAGCCCTGCCCCTTTCCTATATTACTTACTGATTTCCGTTTTTGGCTAATTACTTCTACACTGTAGATCAGTGGTGATCAACATGTGGCACATCATGGTCCTAAAAATGGCACATGAAAACAAAAAAAATTAATTTATATTTTTAATTTGCATATTTGGTACACAATGCTACTTCAGTTGGCAGGATAATAACTGTAATTTTGCAAAAAACAACGCTTTGTAGTAATCCGATTTAAAGAAGGTATTTGAGTTTTAAAATTATAGATTATCCTCTCATGGTTAGGTATATTATGAGACTGACAAATTTCAATGTTCTTTTTCCAATCCTGTACATTACTGTGTGTTCCTGCTATGGTCTTCAGTCAGAATAAAGGCTGCATACATTTAACTGTAAGCACATCATATTTTTGGCCTGGGGAAAGTCGTTCATGGTAAGGGGAAGATGAGGATCATTGATACAGATGGAAGCAGCAAGTTTTCAGAGACGCTGGTAGGCATCTACAAGACTACATGGCATCACATTCCAGAACATCACAGTCTTAATCATGCTTCGGGTTTGTATCTCCATATCATACAAAGGCCAGTTAAACTTTCCCTCTAATAGTGGCTCTGTCTCATGCATGACATGTCTTTTGTTGTTGTATAATTTTCACATTGATTATTTTTTTCCAAATACATGTTCTCTGTGTCAGATGCTACGTTGCCAGCAGCACTGGCACACTATGGCCCTTGGGGCTACCTGATGCTTGGGATGCTAATCTGTGGGGCGATTCTGATGCTCTGTGGACTCTGGGAGTGTTGCTGCCGGTCTTCAAAGCACCAACTCCCAGCCGGTGGCCCGGCTAGTACGTCTGCAGCCACTACAGTCTTCATCATCAACAGTGCTGGAGGCATTGGGAGCCATAGCAGGAACAGCTCCCAGCATCATGATGAAGCACCTTCCACCCCAGGACCCCCTTCATATGAGGAACTTGACCAACCTCCCCCATACAATTCCCTCTTTCCATTAACAAAGACATCTGATGTGGAACCCTTGACCGTTGAAGAGAACCATGTGATAAGTGGCCAGCACATTTAAGCACTTCTTTGCTGATTTGTGAATATTAAAACTGTCTGAATGTGACCAATACATATCTACGAAACGGTATGGTGTATATTTGAAGTATTATGCTAGGCTACTGCCAAGATCTTCAGCTCATTGTTTCAAGAAACTTATAATGTTCATAAAAAGAAGACAATTGCCTGCATTCGGTTGGTAGAAAAACAGGTAAACAAGCTGTTTTAATTTGTAAACAATTTCATATTAATGGTAGTCAAAAGAATTGAACATTTGTTGTTACATGGAAGCAAATGAAGGAAATTTTAAATCTGTGAACAAAAAAATGTTTTACTGACATTGCAAACAGTAACAAGAGCAGTGTCTTTAGATATAAATCTTGTACAATTTGAATTTGATATAAAGAGTATGATTTTCTCATTTTAAAAATATTCGTGAAATTTTGTTCTGGAATCTCAAAAATAGCAATTCTTTCTTCACACATGTATGCATACTTCATGCCTTGTACCTGCGTTTCTTCTTCTCGTCCATTTGGAATATATAAGGCTATGAACTATTGCTCCTGGTTGCCTTGAAACTCTTTCCTTACAAGCCTACACTACACCATGTAAAGATGCCTTAAATTTTCACAAAATTTCCATCTATATAAATGTCTTTCTTTACCAGCCTATAACACACCATGTAGAGATGCCTTTGCTTTTCAACATTTCCATGTAATTAGAAGCCTCACTTTACAAACGTATAATTAACCATATAGCAACAACCTTTATTTTTAACCAAAATGTCCATCTATTTAGATTCCCCTCTGATATGCCTATACTATACCACATAACAATGGCTTTAATTTTCATTAAATTTCCATATATATATATATATATAGACACCCTTCTGATCCACCTTTAGTACAGCTTTTAAAGACCCCTTAAATTTTCCAAAATTTCCATCTACAAGTATATAGACAACCCTTCATACAAGCCTACACTACACCATGTAAAGACGCCTTTAATTTTCACAAAAGTTCCATCTATGTAAATCACTTCGTGGATTTCCATGAAGTTTTGGTCCACAGATGGCGCTGCAGTTTTATTTCATATTTTCCTGTTAACTCTCACTGAATTAGCTTGGTCTCAAGTGATTAAATAACTGCTTGATGCCAAGCTGCCTACTACTGCAATTTCCTGCGTAATCATCTTTGTCCAGGACTCAGGAGAAAGCAACGACACTTGTTGGCAACGAACCCCATCATCCTTCATGACAATGCAAGGGCTCATACTGCTGACGCTGTCAGGGATCTCCTTCACCGCTGGCAATGGGAGATACTGCAATATCCGCCATATTCATCCAATATGAGTCCGTGCGATTATGATCTCTGCCAAAATGAAAGAACTATTGCGAGGGACATGTTACAACAAAAGAGATTATTCTTGCTGTAGGGCAGTCAATGCTGGACATCAACAGAAGTGGACGCACTGATGGTGTACGATGCCATCCACAAATTTGTCAGAAGGTGGTACACATGGGGGGGCGATTATATTGAAGGAATGTACATGTGTTTACCTCAGGTAATAAAGTCATTTCAGAACTATAGAGGTGTTGCCACTACTTTTTATCCAACCTATGTATTTTAAGTAGGATTGCTTTTCTGTGTTTCAACTTCTGTCATCAGTGGTTTCATTCTTTTGTTATTTACTCGTACACTCTGATAATATTTGTTATATTTTTATTTAAGTGTTATTTAAGTTCCATTTTTAATTACATTCCAAGTATGGTTCCAGTATTTAATATTAATATGTGAGATGTGATTAATTTCCTGCGTGACCACAAGTGTGGGTCACTCCACGCTTCGCCATCTGTGGAGTAATGTTCAACAGATGGCGCTTTTTTATTTCATATGAATATGAATACTATGGAACATATTACCACCTCCCCTTATTATCCTCAGGCGTCCCAGGTTGAACGCTTCAACCGCAACTTGAAGTTGGCGCTAGTTATCTACCATAACTCCCAGCATACGCACTGGGACGAACATCTGTCCTCGCTAGCTCTAGCCTTCAACTCAGCGTGGCACGAGTCGACTGCAGCGACTCCAGCCTCGCTGTTTCTCGGTCGAGAATTGAACCATCCCTTGGGGCTAAAATGGAAATTGTCCGAACTGGACCTAAATAGGGATGCTAGGAGTAGGGAGGAATTCTGGGAGACGGCCTTACATAATTTGAGAAAGGCCCGCGCCAGGGTTGCTGCTCGCTATGACGCAGGGAGGAGACGAGCAGAGTTTCGTGTGGGCGATTTGGTCCTAGTGAGAACACATCCGTTAAGTTCGAAGTCCCAGCAGCGTTCCGCCAAGTTGGACTATAGGTGGTCTAGACCACTTAAGATTGTAAGATTCCTTTCTCCGGTAACAGTTCAGTTGGCAAATTCAGATACTGGAGTGATCGTCAGGAAAGCACATGTCTCGCAATTGAAGAGACATTTTTCAGTTGAGTGATTACCTTGTCTATTGGTTTGGTCTGTCATTCAGATGTTTCTAAATGATGTATTATTTAGTATCATTATTCCTAAATGATGTATTTACTTGCTATTAACTTGCTAAATGATGTATGTACTTGCTATTAACTTGCTAAAGGATGTATTTCATTGTTAGTTAACTGTACAATTCTTCTTTCCGAGCAGGAGGGTATCCTAGTCCCCCCCTCCCCTATCCTAGGTTGGATGGAAATGGCGATCTTCGGAAGCAACACCCCCCCGCAGCGTCACCAACCTGCCAGCCAAGTCGTGTCGAATCGCATCAAGTGAAGCTCTCCCGGCTCCGGTGCTGTTGTCCGTCTGGGCCCTTTATCGGACAGCGGCAGGAGCCAGTGAGGACGGAAACATCTCATCGGTCAGCCATGGATGGCGGGAACGTTTGTGGATCGAACACGTGTCTGCGCCGAGTGCACTGTAGGGAAATNAGGAAATACTCTGGACTCCTTGTCTTACTAAGGTGCCAAGCGTGTAGCTGGCGAAGTGAAGGGAGTGAGTAGGACCCCGAGGAGCCTTATATGGTGAAGGGACTTCTATTTCTGTATGTGTCTTCGGAGGATTTCGGGCGGAACCTGGACACACTGTGCGAGTGATATGTGTAGAGCTTTGGAACTCTTGAGGAGCTCTGTGAGAGAGAGATTTGATGGAGATGCTCTTCGAGAAGGGGGGGATAGTGAGCCGTTCTAAGGTTTAGCTCGCTCACGTATGATGTCATCATGTTTCCCTTGACGGATTCCATCCCCACTATGCAGTATCCTGACGTCAGTCACGTGGTCCCATGTACCCTCTCGTGAAGGGGAGACTTGTACAGTGCAGTCGTGTAGACCAAGTTGACTTGGAAGGTCGGTTACTAGCCAGCAGGTTTGTTGTGGAAAATATTGGTTTCGGCTGGGTCTGTTCTAAATTCCATTTTGGTGCTATCTGGCTGGCCGGTTAGGGCTGCCCGCGGTCGCAAGCTGTTGCTTGAACGCTTGTGACGCGCGTTATTAGATTCGGTTTGGTATTTTTTTTTATTTTTTTTTTATTTTATTTTATTTTTTTTTTTCAGAATTTAGACTTGCGTTTGTATGGCCGGAGTG